AGTTGGACAACCTTCCCCGTCACATATGAGTACCTTGAAGCCTTTTTATACTTGTGATGCGGGAAACAACGATATATAATTGATCATGAGTGTAGACGGGTTTATGCAAGTATAATCCAACATTTGATAATGATTGTCCTTAACTTTTGTTAATAGTTATAACAAAACAAACAACTACGGGAATTACCTCCGTTGAAAATGGAATGGGATTCTTTTATCAGGGTTAACTTCATATGAGGTATATAATTAGTCACATTGAAGAATCTACCAGATATGAAATGGAATGTGGGACCTACTCATCGGTCGTTAGTCATGGATTTGCATATAATTTGAGAATGACCGGCTTGACCCCGTAATTTTAAACCCTTTTAATTATTCTCTTTCATTTGATGGTGTCGGTTTTATGAAAAAGAATGTCATTTATTTGATTTTGGTAGAAAGGAAGATATAACTCGTAAAATAAAGAACATATACCAAGGGAAAGATGTAGAAATGTACCAATTTGAAGTGTCATGAAATAGTATGAGAATTTAATAAATGGCCTTTTATTTTTAATTTTTAATGATAGAAAATGTTGTGAAATTCTTTTTCTTTGTTGCTTTGTTTTTCATGCATAAGTCAAAATGATACAAAATGAGCATTTTTAAAGTAAGTTACAGCAACGTACTTTCATTAAAGACGTGTTTTGATATCAACTGAAAATGGATTATAATATACACATTTGGTTAAAATCGGACTGTCTTGGCAAGGTAAAAGGGGGTTTGTTTTAGCTTCTAAAAAAAAAAAAAGGTACAAAATAAACATTTTTAAAGCAATTTATACCAACGTATTTCCATTAAAGGGGAATTTTGAAATTAGGTAAAATGGTTTATAATGAGCACATTTTGGTCAAAATAAGACTATTTTGGCAAGATTAAAATGGTAAAAATTGCATTGTTTTGACGGTAGATTAAAATTGAGCAATATACTTCCATTAAAGGGGAATATTGACATATGGTAAAAATGGTTTAAAATAAACACATTTTCTTCAAAACAATATTGTTTTGGAAATGTCAAAATGGTAAAAATGAGGTTGTTTTGACATCAGGTTGACCGACATAAAAACAATGGATCGATTTTACTTTCTCTAATAACATGTGACTTTCATTTGTTCCTATTATATTATTTGTTCATAGTATTTGTTCATACCAAACATACGTAAATATAATGTACTTTTCAAAGGTTTACATAAAGGTTTATATAAACGAAAAATAACACTAAAATATAATGGTATCGATCCTTGGGGAAATGGTTGTATATCATCACCAATGCAATCTAAAAGAACAAGTGTAAATAAACTAACTACAATTAAACTAAAAGGGGGTGTTATGATTGCTTGAAAACTAAAAGACTTGAATAACTAGAAAACTTGCAATTAAGCAAGATGATGAGATGCTCAAATATTGGAGAGAATTTGTAAACCAAGGCAATTCAACACAATGAACATTTGTGTGTTTATTATTAGAATTTAATATGAAGCTTATCATTCATCACAAATTGGTTATAGCAATCATGAAGCATGATATGCCAAGATTTATCATAGGTAGTATGGATATTGGGAAAGCCCACAACACACCTTCGTAATCAAAATCAAAGATCCAGTAGAAGCGATTGAACCCAAGAAGTTGATTAGCCTTAAGAATGAAGAAATCCCCATTTCCTAGAGGATGTCAATGCTTACACATCCATAAAGGAGTTATGATTCATAAGCTAGAGATGATTTCTACCATTATAAAGCCCTTGTTCTAAGTAAATTTAATGATTCAATGCTAAACCAAAGAAATAAACCAACAATTGCTTATTAAAGTACCAAGCTCATGATCAAAGCATTAAACAAGCATAGGAATTATGAACTAGAATCATAGACATAAGATAAATGATAAATAAGCATAAATCCTTCAAAAACCCACAAACATTCAATGGTTTTAGCCAATGTCTACCAAAATAGAGGATTTAGCCACTCATGGCAATAGAATAACAATCAAAAAAGTATAATTGCATAAAGAAACTACCAATAACTGGAAAGATGAAAGGAAATGAGTCTCAAGCTCCAAAATCGCCTTCTTTTAGTCTCCAAGTGGTGGAAAATCGAAGTGATAGCTGATAGATCTGATCCCCCAAGGTAATCGCAAGCCAAATGACCAAAATGCCGAAAACTGGGCAGTTGCACGGGTACCCGCAAGACGGAAATTCCACCCGCACTAGTGCTGCTGGAATGCAATTGGCTCATTTTTCCTCCACTAACCATCCCACTACCATAGATTCCCTTGGTCCCCTCCATATCCCACATGATTCAAATTAACCTATAATCTTTTAGCTTCAAAATATGGATGTTCCAAGCCCAAATTAACAATCCATGATCCATCTTCACAAGCCCACTTCATCCATGCCTTTAGCCTTTTAAGCCCAAATCTCCTTTAACGGATCCGCAAAGCCCAATAATGTCTCGGAAGCCCACAAAGCCCATTTCCAAGCTAAACCATAACCGCAACAAGCTCCAAAACCCTACAAAATACCTCATGCAACATAAAAAGTCCCCTGTATGATCCATAATAAAGAAAATAAATAAAATACAATGCAATAATGATAAAAAAAATCTAAAAAATCTAAAATAAACTAATTAAAATAAGGAAATAAAATAAGCTATCAAATCACCCCAAGCTTAAACCTAACTTGTCCTCAAGTTAGAATAAGACTAAAATGAGCTTGGGATGAGCTAAACTAAAAGAGAAAAAGAAAGATACCATAGAACTTAGTCAACATCAGTCAACATGGTCAGAGTCAGTCTTTCATGGACCCTACACATCGTCAAAATGTTCCCCGCTTTAGAGCCATAAACCACATTCTCGAACCACTTGAAGGGCAAATAGATCACGGCTGGATGTAGTCGCGGTGTGCAAGACAAAGGAAACAGAGGATGTGCCTAGTGGGGGCACTTTAAATCACCAATGCAGATCATAATGCATGAAGGAAAGGCGCCTCTTCACACACGATGATTCCTATATTTGTTAGGCTAAAGTGTATAATAACGAAATAGGGTTTTGCAACGTGGCCTCCAGGAAAACATCCGGTTTCAGAGGCTTCTCCCTTGTACTGCCCTTTACAATCTGTTGTCTCATTGTCATGACCTTTTCTCACCAAAAATAAAAAAATAAAATAAAATTCTACTTAACATAAACCTAAACCTAACAACTTAAATCTTCAATCCTGAACTTCTATTATTTGGATTTCAGTCTCTTTGTTGTTTGATCTTCTCTCTCTCTCTCTCTCTCTCTCTCTCTCTCTCTCTCTCTCTCTCTCTCTCTCTCTCTCTCTCTCTCTCAAAGAAGCCTTGAACTTGGATTCTTGTTCTTCTTTTGTGTTGCTCTTTTTCTTCATTTTTCTTCTTTGTTTCTTTTTTGTCTTCATTTTTCTAATTTCTTCATTTTTTTTGTGTTTTCTTCTTGGAAGGTTTAAGGAATTTCACCATGTAATATAGAAGAAGGCTAACATTTTATTTACCATATAAGTATAGTTTTAAAAAATTTACCAAATAGGTATAGTTTTAGAAATTTATATTTTCTTAACTTTTAGCTTTTATTTTATTTTTACTGTTTTTTTGTTTATACATTTTTTTTTTTACTTTTTACTATTATTTTTTATCAAATTTTTTTACAAACTCTAATTGTTTCATTCACTTTTACTATAATGAATGTTAATTTTCACCAATGGCTTAAAAACTACATCGAGTTTTAAACAAAAATCGAAAACCCTTCGCATGAGAAATCCAAAGGCATCCCCCACAAAGAACATGCAACACCAAGCAAACCAATGTATGTTTCCAAACTTTTTAGCTCTAAATTTAATCCAATTGAATAAAGTAACTTGAATGCTTTCTTTTGTAGAGTTAAAGAACGCACGACTTCCAAATCCACTAGAACACCATGTTAAATCAATGCCCGAATTAGCTTTTGACCTTTTAGTAACTCCTGTCTTTGTCCACGCATTCATCCAGCAAGTTACAAAAGGGCAATTTACTATGAATTTGATAATCCTTTTTTTTTTTTTTTTTTTGAAGATTTACAACAGTGTGGATGTTTTATTCAAAGCTAATGTCCAAGCAAAACAGTTCGTTGTCCAATTGTTCCATTCACAAGTATTGGTCCCACCTAAACAATGACATGTCTTGAGAAATTTCATTTTGTCTCATTCCACTAGGGAATATGGTCCACCTAAACAAAGAAATTGTAAAGAAAGATCAAGTGAATCATAGATTGAATAAATGTCAATAAATCACATTGCTTTGAAAATCAGAATTAAAGAGTTGACCTCACAATGCTTAGAAAATCATAATGCAAAAGCAAAGGGTTGAAGCAGAGTTAAGAATAGTAGGGTTGAACAAAATATCACACACTACATGACTTGTAACTAATTAAATACAACAAATCGAACCCTAAGGTGCAATAGAATCAAACTAAACTATTTCAAAAAATCGATTATGGTTCAAAAATCGAACCGGTGATGGAAATCGAAAATCTTACCTGTGTGCTTGTGTGTGTAAATACGTTTTTCAAAAACACCATTATGGTTAAAAACTATGTGCTTGTGTGTGTTTGTGTTCTCAATTAAACTTCAATTCCAAATAGCCTCATATTTGTTCCTTGATAATCTACGTGTCAAATCCGCAATTGATTGATGTTTTAGTTACGTAGTGTTTGATCTGAAATTTCTGCTTTTGATAAACGATGCTTCTGCTACTTGGAGAAAGACATTAGGGCTTTTGTTTGTTTGTGGATTTAATTATCGATTTGTTGATAGTTTAGTTTTTCCGTTTGAATGCCTGAAATTCCCTCTCAGTGTCTTCTTCATCAAAATGTCTGTTTGTATTTGTGCAAAAAATTTCCGAAAGTCATATTGAAGCTGCTTAAATCCAGATTCCATGAACATAATAACATGATTACATGTTGTTGAGCTTTTAACCGGTGAAGTTGAAGCCTTTTCTTCTTGCACACATTGGGTTATGAACTCTTTCTAATTTACTAATCACACAACTTTGGTTTTCAATTTGGAATAGGAAACATGAAAACAATCAAAACATGTGTTGCCAATTAACCTATTCATCAACAGAGTAGCTTATATTGTTACATGTTTCTAAAGAATTCAATCTATCAACATCATTCTGTTGTTCCAAAAATTCTGAAAATCATCATCATGACCAAAATCCATGTACTTTAGGATGCTACCATTGCTTGTTCTTCTAGCCTGAATACCAAAATCAAACAAAAACATCACTTCACATGACTCAAAATTTCAAAATTTTAGATCAAAATTCAACTCCTACTACTTACTCAATAGATCCAAGAACAACATCTACTTTCCCATTTGTAGGTGAAACAACACCAAAAATCACAAAACCACCCAATACAACCATCAAAACACCCAAAACATTCACCAAAATCGCCTCAACACAATAATGTGAAATAATCTTGTGCATTTGAAGAAACGTCATTTTTTCTAAAACACCCGTGAGACAAGAAGCTAAAGCAAGGGTATATATGTAAACTCCAATAAACACATGCCATGTCATCAATGAACCTTTGAATTTCGTTGAACCACATGAGCACCAAAATGTTGCAAATCCAACACCCCACTACAATCAAATAGTTTTCTAAGATTATATGGTTTTAATATTGGGTTAATCTCATAAAAAACCTTATATTTTATGTTTTTTCCAAATTAAACTTCAACTTTATTTATTTTCTGAAAAAAAAAACCTTGTATTTTTTCATTTTTCCTGAAAAAACCCTCAATTTTGTCTTTTTTCTTTTTCCGAAAAAACCCTCAAGTTTTTTAAATTTTTTCTAAAAAAACCCTCACACTTTACAAGTAATCTAATAAAAGACCTTATATTTTATGTTTTTTTTTTCTGATTAAACTTCAACTTTACTTATTTCCTGAAGAAAAAAAACCTTGTATTTTTCCATTTTTTCCGACAAAACCTTCAATTTTGTCTTTTTTTTTTTCCGAAAAAAACCCCTCAACCTTCCAACTTTTTTCCAAAAAAACCCTCACATTTTACATTTTTTTTCAAAAAAAATGACTAAAACGTTCAGATCAATTAAAATGAAAAGGTGCAAACACTTTTCCAGAAAATAATAATAATAATAATAATAAAGCGTGAGGTTTAATCTAGAAAAAACACAAAATATAAGGTCTATTATGAGATTAACCCTTTAATATTTGAACTTATTATATACAAAAAATAGTGGAAAATAAGAACCTGAATTGCAAATAGGAGTAAAGAAGCTAAGCCTAACCATGAGTGTAGACTGTAGAAATTGCCGATTCCTTTATCGTTGTGAAACTTCCAAACGGCCCATAAACCGATTAGACTGAGTATGAATGCTAGGAATTGGAGTGAGAGATGAATTACTTTTTTATAAGTTTTTGTTCCTGATATTGTTTTGTATGCTAGCATAGCTGCATGATTCACTTTGAAGTAGGAATTAGGATTACTGATTGCTATGGTAGTGTTTGGTATGATGGAATCAGTGATGGAATGGAATTGTTCATTCCAATTCCATTCCATCTCTGAGTTATATTATAACTTTTCATTCCATATTGAAATCGAATGAAAAGTTATAATATAACCCACTGATAGAGTGGAATGGTTCATTCAATTGGAATGAAAAAGTATTAAAAAAAAAAAACATGTTTTTTTTTTTTTTTTTTTTGCCTATGGAATGGAATGGGCTATTGATTTTGTAATTTTGGTGTTTTTTTCATTCCATATTGAAATTGAATGAAAAGTTAAAAAATAACCCATTTTTATCTATAAAACTTCTAATTACACACATTTTGTTTTAATAATTTTATGGTTTTAATTAATTTATAATTTTATTTTCTAAACATTAGTAGAAAGTTTTTACTATTGTTATTATTATTATAATCTTATTTGGGTTTTAATAATTTAGTTTTGTAAATAATAAGGTCTATAATAATTATAATAGTGTTCTAACTTCTAACTACATGTTTTATTTACATATATAATATAAAAAATACATATCAAAGTTCATTCAATTCCCGAAGTCTAACAAAAAGTTATCATAATTACCTTTTCTTATTACAATTTACAATAATCATATTTGTAATTTGTACAAAATTAAAAAAAAAAAAAAAATTATCAAATTTTACACTAACAAAATTCATATTAGGAGGTAATTTAAAGTACACTTTACCTTCCCCATTCAACAAAAGAAGACCAGTCACCATCATAACAGGATGAACCTACAAAAAACACAGCTTTATTTATGTAAATAATTAACTTGAAATATAATATCAATAATAAACTATTATGTAATTAGCATACACACATTTCTCATATCATAAAAACTAAAACCAACTCAAGCCCTAATCGTTTTATATATATATATATATATATATATATATATATATATATATATATATATATATATATATATATATATATATATATAAAAGGAAAAGATTATATAAATAGAAAGGGAATTGAAGAATTACATTGAAGAGTAGAGCTTTGTTTTTGGAGAAAAGAGCCAATCCTCCTCTGTAGTGAACATTCCATATAAGAACTAGGATTAGTATTAATACGCCTAGACTTCTTACGCATAAGAATATTGGGAATTTAGCCACCGGAACCACCATCTTCCGGCGAGATTAACACGATTGGAGGTTGTTAGGGTTAGGGTTAGGGCTCCGGCGGAGATGCGGTTGTTTATCGGAGGTTAATTTGTGGGTTGTGGTGTCGAATGGATGGGTTGCGAAGTGTGAATTGGGGAAGAAAGATCGAAGATTCATGAGTTACAACTCTCTAACATACAAATTAACTTGAAGTTGTCAAATAATAGTTTTTACTAATTAGTTAATTATATAAAAAGAATTAATTTGATATTTTCTATTGATGTTGAATTACAGGATGTGACGATAAAAATGTTTTTTTTTGTAGAAAAAATATATTTATTTGTATGTATTTTATAAAATTGTTCTTCATTTGTTTATATAAGCAAATTATAGTTTAAGAGATTATTATTCCCTTTTTCAAGACAAATAGAAATTTTACTAGACATCTTGCACGATGGAATTCGAATCCCATTCGACCGTCCTGCTTTCAAAAAAGTTTAAAGAGAATACGACTTATTAAGGTAATTAATTTTTTTATTTGTTTATATTTGGATTTTAATTGTTTACGTATGATAATTATGACATGTTGTAGCAGGTTACATGCGATCATAATGGTTATATGTAAACACTTTCAACAAGTTCGTTATCAAGGTTGTACAAAAAAAATTAGTTACCTAAATATGAACAAAATGAAAATTAAGAGGAAATTACATAAATGGTTTCTATGGTTTGGAGGAATTTGTGCGTTTGGTCCCTAAATGACACAATAGTCTTTTTAGGTTAGATATGAACCAAACGTGCAACAAAAATAAACAGTAATGATTATCCGAGTTAAAAAAATAAGTTGGGAACCAAACACATAAATTTTCCTAAACCACAAGAACCATTCGTGTAATTTACTCTTACTTTTCGTTTTGCTAATATTTGGGTAACTATTTTTTTATACAAATCTAGATAACGAATTTGTTAAAATTGTTCATATATAATTATTATGATCGGATTAACATGCTATAACATGTCATAATTGTTATATGTGAACAATTCTAAAAAGTTCGTTACCTAGATGTATATAAAAAATATATTACTCAGATGTGAACAAGCCGAAAAGTTAATTACCTTAATAAGTCACATTCCCAAGTTTGAATGGTGTGTAGTAATTAGTGCTATATACTTTTTGGATAAAACATGTTGGACTATATTTTGTGGTTTATGTTTTGTTTTTGTATGTTTTATGTGTTCTCGATTTTAGACCGAAATCATTAGTGGGTTTAGTGTGTTTTCGGTGGGCTTGTTATGTTTGGGCTTTAAGTTATTGGTCTAGTATAAATATGGTATGTGTATAGCCATTGTAGGGTAGAATGCATGAATGCGTTTTTGAAGTATTGTAAGTGACTCACAGCTGAAAGTAGCTTGAATGTACTCGACTATTATCCAATAGAATTGTGTGCATCCATTTGAAACGTGTTCTTGATATATTGTTTCGTATCATTGTTTGATTAGGATTCTGCATTAATCAAACTATTGCATTGGTACCTTGATAGATCCGAGTTAAGGGACTTATAAGTGTTATCAGAGCCTTAAAAACGACTTAAGGCTGTTTTGATATCAATTGCTTTTCGAAACATGAATTAGTTTGTGGTGTTTTTAGGTTGTGTTGAAAGTAAAAGGATTTTTGTTGTTCTTCGTGTTCATCGTTTTCTTAGTGTTCTTCACTAATTTTGGAGGATATTGCATGGGAAATTGTTTTTGGTAATTTACCAAAATTTGAAATTCATTGGATAAGGAAACACGATCAAAAATTCGTTTTCTGTTAGGTTCTAGTGTTCTCGCCGGCTGGTGAATAACATTTTCGGCAAAAGGGTATTGGGTTCTCAGCTTGGAAGAGTGATATTGCCATATTTATATATGTTTTTAGGCAATATTTATTTACATTTTTATTAATATTTTGGTTATTTGCATAGAATACTGGTACTTATAAGATCAATTAGGGGTGTCAATTTATGATACGACACAACAAAAATACACGAAACCAAACGAAATCAGGAGGAAATCAAAATTTGAATTCGTGTTTGTGTCAAGATTAAAAAACACGATGTCGTGTCGTATCGTGTTTGTGTTCATAAATTGACACGATTAAGCATGTAGTTGTCGGGTTTTTCGTTTTTATTGTGTTATATATCTTTAAGTATGAATGAAATACACTAATAGTTATGTAATATTAGCTTTGCCGTGCCGTGTCGTGTTGTCGTGTTTTAATTGGTTCGTTTTCGTGTTATTGAAAAAAAACACGACATCGTGTCGTGTCGTGTTCGTGTTATATAAAATCTTGTGTCGTGTCGTGTCAGACAAAAACACGACACGACTGCCCGATTTGACAACCCTAAGCTCAATTTATATTCTGCAGCAAAATAGAAGCATTTTCGAAGAAAAGGACTAAAGTTTTCAAAACATAGAACTTTGGAGGCTTGGAGAATGAAAGAATAAGAAACCTACGAAATTTGTTGTATTCACGTCGTGAGATGTCTAGATTCACGACATGAGTTGGAGGATTCTAGAAGATAGGCACCGGAAGGAAGAGTCCTTGTCAAACACGTATATCTCGTATTCACGGTGTGAGACATTATTTCTCACGACGTGAACTTTGAAAAATCAGAAGCTATATATATATATATATATATATATATATATATATATATATATATATATATATATATATATCCTTGTCCATTACGACTTGGGAGACTTTTGGTTGTTTGAAGAATTTCCATGAGACGATTTTCAGAAGGAAAGAAGGTCTGGAATAGGGTTTCAACACAAAAGGAGAAGAGAGTTCATAATTAGTTCAATCATTTGGTACTTTAATCATGCCTATTACTTTGATTTGTTTTAGTTTGATTTTGAGTATGAGTAGCTGAATTCAGTTACTCTTGTTTAACTAGATGAAACTTCGACTTATGGTTTAGTTAGTTTATTATGGATTTAATTAGTTGATATTGAGCTTGTGTTAGATTGTTAATATCTAGCATGCTAATATTTGATTCTTTAGTTACTTGAATTCATGTTCTGTGTAACTTAGTGATAAGTAAATTACATGAACTTGACACCTAGTGATTTAGTGAACATTAAATTGCTAAAACTAGGATCGACCAAATCTTAGGTAAATAATTGAAGTAATTGAATTTAGTTGTGCTAAAGAGCATATGTTATGACCATAATTATGTTTGCCTAATAAATCTTACATAGCTTATTCATAATCATAACTAGTTATGTGTTTGATTGTGTGTGACCATGCATAATTTTACATGAATAAGTTAAATATTGGTAAATTTAAACTTAAATTAATAATATAATATAAAATTAGATAACCAACTTTGATAATCAATAATTGTTAGCTAACCAGAAAGAAGAAGTGGATTCGAACTAAATGGGAGTATTTTTAGTAATGGATTGAATTTGTGTTAAAGAGTTAAGTTCATCTAAACTTGCAAAATTAGATAAATTCCATTTCTTTGTTAATAAATATGTTAATTTAGTAGTAGATAGATTAATTAGTCAAAACTGTTCCTTGTGATCGATACTCGACTTACCCGACTATTCTATATTTTGACTAGATACACTGTCTAGGTGCAATTTAGTTAGTTAAATTAGTTAGGTTATAAATATAAAATTAGGTGTAGTTATTTGCACGCATCAAAGAGTTCTCGGCCAACATATTGTTCTCAGTAAACTGTTTTCGATCAAGCAAATTGACCATCAAGGTTCTCGGTTAATATGGTGTTGACTATGTGGGCAATATAGTAGCTATATATTGTCACTCATAATCTGCCATGAAAATGTTTTTTATGTTTAAGTGGATCACAATATCAATGATTGACCAGAGCTTCACATAAATGTGTATGCTGATAAACCTTATTAATTTGCTCCATAACTTGTGATCTCAAATAAATAAATTACTCTGGATTACTTTTTTGTTTTTATTTAAATTTGTACATATTTTCATTGTTATGCACAAATTTAGGAGGGGAAATAATTAGATAAAAAAAAACAACAAAAATAATAACAAATTAAAATAAATAAAAAATTAATTAATTTAAAATTATGTGTTTAATTATATTTTAATTTTTGTAGTTAGTTTTTGAAATGTAAAATCAAAAGAAATTCTTTTTATTAAAATTTAGGTTATTTTTAATGGGCCGAAATCGGTGTAAAGTGAGTCGTCTGGGACTTTTCGGATATATATATATATATATATATATATATATATATATATATATATATATATATATATATATATATATATATATATATATATATATATATATATATATAGGGGACGGTTCATTTGAGAATAAAAAAAAAATAAAGATCTTGAGATTAAACCTCAACCACATATTTCTCATTTGCCGCTCTAATGCACCAGCATACCAGTAGCAACGATGTATGCATAATCATAAATGATTATATGACAAAGAGGTATAATCATATTGGATTATATATGTTTATACGTATATGGATAATCATAAATGATTATACATATATGTCTGTTCACAGATTGAGTAAATCATAAATGATTATTACAGATAGTTATAGAAGAGGTGGTGGTGACAGAGGTGGCGGTGGTATAAGTAATAGAGGTGACAATGGTGGGGTCGACTGGTGTTAGAGGTGGTGGTAGTGGTGGTGGCAGTGGCGGTTACGGTGGTGGGGATGGTGGCGGAGGAGAAAGGAACGGGTGGCACTGTGTAATCATTTATGATTACACCAGACCTGCCGCGCCGGTACGCCGAAGGGTTAGAGCGGCAGATGTGAAATACGTGGCTGAGGTTGAATCTCGAGATCTCTATTTTATTTTTAATCTCAATGGAACCTATCTCTCTCTCTCTCTCTCTCTCTCTCTCTCTATATATATATATATATATATATATATATATATATATATATATATATATTGAGAGAAAAAACGACGACAATGATGATGACTGTTTGGGGTTTTCGGTGAAAAACCCTAACCATACCAAAAAAGAAGTGTGTGTGTGCATATATATATATATATATATATATATATATATATATATGCACACACACACTTCTTTTTTGGTATGGTTAGGGTTTTTCACCGAAAACCCCAAACAGTCATCATCATTGTCGTCGTTTTTTCTCTCAATTTTTTTTTCGAGTTTTTTTTTGCAAAAACTTACTCATTCGTT